AGCGTGCCATGTTGAGAATAAATCTGTGTAAATGGTTTGGAACTCTGAACACACGGAACAGTCAAATTAGAATAAGAACATTAGACTCACATCTACTTCAGAAACTTATTAGCTTTATGATTTAGAGGAAACTAGGTCATTGCTCTAGAATGAGGGTCAGCAGACTTTTTTCTCTAAAGGGGCAAATAACAAATATTCTAGGATTTCTGGCTATAGGTTTTTGTCACAACTACTCAACACTGCTATCATAGCAAGAAACAGGTCAGATACACTATCTAAACAAATGAACATGTTTGCATTTCAATCAAATTTCATTTATAGACAGTGAATTTGAAATTCCATATCCTTTTGTGTCACAAACATTATGCTTGACTTTTTGACGCAACCATTAAAAAATGTAAAACCATTCTAATCTGTTGGGCCATATAAAATCAAGGTGTCAGCTGAATTTGACCCATAGCTGAGTTTGCCAATTCCTGCTCTGGACTCAGACTCCACCTCTGCAAGTTAGCTTTCTAACCTGCAGATGGGAAGCACACACCGTATGGGCTTATCAGAGCAAACGGAGGCTAAATTGTCAACTCTGCTTTTTGGATTTAAAGCATCACTGCTATGTATACTAAATTAAGATGCTTCACTGCCTCTGTTTTGGCTAAATTGAATAGGAAAGTAATTGTTCTAGAATCAACAATCTTAGCATTTTTCCTTTTTTAAAACTGTAACTCGCTGTTATTAGCTGGGCCATACAAGACAAAGAGCTGCACGAATTCTTTTTCTCTCATTTTACTGGGATCCATCAGCGGTGCATCATTATTCAGCGAAAAAAAGTGATGTCAGAAAATATAATGCTGCTAAAGGTTATTTGTGACATTTAAGAAAATGGGGTCAACTGTTATCAGGCCACATATGCAACTTTCCATCCAGGAACAAAAGGGCTAGTATTATTGTGCCTGAACACGAAGGGTCATTTTTGTTAAGCAAACAAACAAACAAACAATAGATGGAAATGGCAGGCAGTTAGAGTCAACTCATAGCACAGGGTTATGCTATCAAAAACGCTATCGAATATGTGACTTTGGGAATGATTTTTGTGGGAAGCTGGGGATTAAAACTATTTTTTTGTTTTACCATAAAATTCTAATTTCATTAGGTCTGGGGAAACTGTGGCCAGCCCTGCCTTTTGCTGTGAACTTTGTCCTAGTGTACTTGTTTTTTTTTAATTTTAAAAAAGGTTATTTCCTACTTGACCTTGGTTCTCCACTATTAGCAAAACACTCTCCTACGTCTGGGAAATCTCAATAAAAATTTTTATTGTAAAGCCAGAGGGAAATTATAATAATTATTACTTATTCCTTGTAATTCATCTTATTTTTAGTTTTTGTCTGACTTTTTCTTTTTCTTTCCCATTTGTGTGTGTGTGTGTTTGTGTGTGTGTGTGTATATGTGTGATCATTCATGAACATGCTAGGGATGGAACCTAAGGTCTCACATATGCTAGGTACATATGCTAACACTAAGCTACATCACTAGCTCTAATTTTTAAAATTAATACAGACAGAATTTTTAAATCACAGCATTTGGTTTTCCAAGTTTTTAAAGAAATGTTTTCTAATATATTTTGGGATGGTTTTGTCTTTAGTGGGAATTGTCAAATAAATATTATTTTTATGTAACCCTGAAACATTCAAATTCACACTTCTCTATTTCATTAAAGCAAAAATGAAGAATGCAACTGGATTTTGGGATAATCACAGAGAACTTCCAGAGATAATTAAAATTTGATTAGATTATTTCTTTTTCAGAAATGCATTTAAGCAGAACTACTGTTCGGTAGTTTCTTTGCTTTTGCAGAAATGAATCTTAGAACACCTCGTTCACATTTCTGAGCTACCTCCAATCACTTGATTTTCTGCTAATTATTAAAATTTATTGGCATAATTTTGGTTTCCAATGAAAGTATTTGGGAGCACACACATGCAATAATGTAACAATTATTAAATCTGATATTTACTTAAAGTAATTGGACATATCACATGTTAAATTTAACTTCCAGGAAAATGTTATATAAATGTAGAATTAAAACTGTATATTTCTGTTAATGTCTTTAGAATATTAGAAGGTGGTCTGAATTACTTGTAAAGTGTTTTACTCTCTGGAGTTTGATAATTTTTAAAGTCACATGTATTACCTGGTTATAGCTGCTAAATTTTCATTGAGAAATTGAGTCATGTGCTTATTAATTGCCTTGGAATAGTTGCACTAAATACTTTAAACATCAATGGATTGCTTCAATAACCCAACTTGCTCCTACATAAATGAACATTAGGCTTACAGTGTAGGCTATGATCTGATTTTTTTTTGTCTGAACAAGGTGTCTAGCACAAAGTGAGGCTTATTACTTCATTCCTGAGAGGACTGACAGAAAATGGAAGTTTACTTTTAGAATCATAAAATATCATAATTGTTCAACTGGAAGTCTTTCCACTTAGAAATTGCTCAAAGACCATTTCTCCTTCCCTCCCTTGTAAGCCCTAGATACCTAGAGTTCTTGTCACTAAAGAACCACTGTTAAAAACTGGTCTGCTCATCTTTGGATCAAATCTTCTTCAGATGTGGATGTGAATCAAGACAATTCTTGTAAATATGGTTTTATGGAATAATATGATCCTTGATGCTTTTTTCTTCAGGGACTTGTCCACAAATGTTTAGAGGTAACAGGCCCAATTAATTATTAATTGCCTATTACTTTATCTCCACTGTGAGACTGTATTTCACAGTGAGGGCTAACTAGGACTAACCAGGGAAATTGATCTAGCAAGCGACATCTATTTGTAGGATGTGATAAGATTTTTTCCTTACTCCCTCTACCTACTTTGTATATCACCCCCAATATCGCATGGTATTAAGATAATCTTTGGTAAAATAAAGATTTGCAAGCTTCGTTAGCATTATAATATACTGAAACTGTGGAGATTATAGTATATCTTGGAAAAAGTTCACTCTTAACAAAAGGGAAAAATTTACAGCTTTCCCCCAGAAGTACACAGTGAAGAAATGTCAGTCCCCTACTATAGTGTCAAGAGCATTGAGTTGGACCTCAGACCAGAACTGAGACATCTATTGGGGCTAGTAAAGGCTGTGAAGTTTTATCAAGGAGATAACGGGGTTTAGGGGAGTAAGATGGAGAGTCTAGAGAGAAAGGTTTTGGAAATGGATTCTTTGTAGGCTGAAGTAGAGTCAAGGAAAAGGTAAAAAATGCTTTGAACTCTTTTTCTGGAATAAGTATGTGTTCCTGCCCAGTGAGATATATATGTCTCATTTTTTATATTGAAGGACTCTATGTATTTTCAGCCATTACATACTAAGATGAAGTTCTGTACAGATGTAAGAAGATTCTAACTGTTTTAAAAACGGAAAGTAACTGGGCATGATGGTGCATGCCTGTAACTGCAGCATTCAGGAGACTGAGGCAAGAAGATCATTGCAAATTCAAGCCCACTATGGGCTACAAAGTGAGCTCAAGGCCAGCCTGGAGACTGCATAGTGAGACGTGTGGTCTGAAGCAATCAGTGGAAACAAACAAACAAACAAACAAAAGAAAAAAAAACCCAGAAACTAGTAGTAAAACCATTTGGTTTTATTTTGTTTGTTTTGCAGTAAGCTCAAGAGTCACAAAATTACCATATGTGAATCTGAAACTTCAACTATTGCCTGTTTTTTTTTTTAAATTTGAATTTGGAAACTTTGTCTGGTAGGTGATCGAGATCCATAGTCGGATTATGCATAGTTAAACAGCATGGATGACTCACCCTCTGAAGGTTGTCCAGTAGTCTGGGGGCAACAGGGTGAAACCTCTGCTTAAGTCCTTTAACCTGTGTCTTAAAATGTAGTCCCAGGGGTATACATTCTTACTGATTGTTATTTTTTTAAAAATTCAATATTTATTTGTAGTTTAAAAATATATTCTAGGTCTTTAGTGTTTCTGGGTCTTTGGTGTTGTTGACAGATCTGCACTTCTTTGTATTTAATTCTTGGAAGGGGGGCTGGGGATTTAGCTCAGTGACATAAGCGCCTGCCTTGCAAGCAGGCGGTCGTGAGTTTGATCCCTGGTACCGATAAAAAAAAAAAATTCTTGGATGACTATTAGAAATAACTATAAATTGTGTGTCCTATTAAAAGAAATGGAGCTGTGAAGGTTATAAATAGATACAACCTTTAATGAAATTTCCAGCAATAAAGATATTGAAAAGTATAACATCAAAAATTCATGCTCAGCAGATTTGAGAACCTCCACGAAAGCAATGCTGATCAGATTTAGCTCATGCTCGCCCATTTTCCTCTCCCATTTCCCTCCTCATTATAAGTGGCCTGACGTTTAAGGAGACTCTCTTGTGTCTATGAACTGGGCAATGAAAGTTGTGATTCTTATGTTCACTAAATTTCTAACACTTATTTTATTATTGTGCCTGAATGATAGAATAGATTTGATGAATTCAGTGGCTTGAATTAAACCAAGAAATAGTGGTACAGTCACGAGAGATATCTAGAACAGTCTGCCTAAGTAACATTATACCATTATACCAAGCACCAGAGTCTTCCTATCAGTTAGAGCCTAGTTGTTCCCTTTGGCAGGGAAATAGTTCGAGAGATAAGTGGAAGAAAAATCTGCTATGATTCATTCTAGTTGATTATTAATCAACTAGAAATCATTATAGAAATTACTAGATGCATTTCCTTTCTTCATGCCATTATTTTTTTGCTGCTCACAGTTACGTGATACAATCATAACAGAAGAGTGTATTTTGCTTTGGTCTCAGTCTTCGTTTGTCGGGAAAAACAGTGCTATGTGCTTTCCCAGGGAGATGCTATCCCAGGACAGTTTTCCCAAAGGACTATTGCTCTGATTCATACATTCTTTTTTTTAAATTGCTTTGGTTTCACCTCACTTCTACCCTTGCTAATGTTCTAAAATGTATGCCATAAAGAAATAAACTCCAGGGAACATCAAAGGAAAGACCTTATGGCCGTTTACTCTGTTGGCAAAGATTCAACTCTTCAGTATTGTATGTACATTCCTGAAGTTGAATCTGGCCCTCGGTGACAGCTTTCTGTTCACAACAGGTTGCACATGAACACAGGGTTGGTGCCACCCCTACCCTATGTGTGACAGATCTATGCTAAGACAATGATGCTAAATTGTGTTACTGTCTGGTCTGATGTTCCTCCCTCTCCCTCTGCTCTCAGGCAGGACTGTATAAAAACAACATTCTGCAGCTGTGTGGTTACGTGACTGCTTCTGTGTAAGGGAGAAACATTCATTGTTGGCTTCTGAACACCTCCCTTTCTTTTATTTCCTTCTAATGGACATTATAGAAAACATTCAGATCCATGAACTTGAACTTGAAAGACAACTTATGCATAAGTACCATGTGCTGGCCCATTGGGCCACTGGTGCTCCTTGAAAGACTACTTGTGTTCTAGATATTACTTTAATGGTCAATACAATTTTATTGTTTCTTACTGCAAATCTTCAAAAATCCTCATTAGAGAACACAGGAATAATCCTAGTAGAGAAAATCGGGACTTCTTCTAAGCATTGTGGAGGGTCCATGACTTCTTGGGGAAGATGGCAATTCCGCTCAGCCTCCAGCTGCTGGATCTTCCTTTCCTTTTCCTCCAGAGCTGCTTCTAGCTGGATGATCCTCTCTGTCTGAAGCGAAAGCTGTATGGAGAGCTCCGTGATCAAGCTGACTTTCCTATCGCCTTCTTCCTCAGGCAGGAGACTCTCACAGCACTCTTCCAGTAAGTTAGCTGCTGAAGAAAGCAGGAGAAGGACATTCTGAGCAGTTTTAATTGGAGTTCCCAGAACTTAAAGGGAGGGCAAATGAGAAAGGTTCATTTCTCACGTTCTAAAAAAGAAAGCAGAGATGTTGCATCATCTGCTTAGGCGTACTGAGAAGAGAATCTAGACCCAGCGAGGGGAAATATTCTGATGCTCCTGAAAGAACTTGGAAGCCTCTTGAGAGTGAAGAGATTTAGACTTTGCCAACTCTTTTTAAAAAAATATTTATACTTAACTTTCAATTAGCTATGGGAATGAGTTAACTTGAAAATTAACCTACAATAACAGTCATCCTCAGAACCTTTCAAAGGGTTACCATCAAGTAAAAAATATGCTTTGAACAAAAATTTTATTTAATCGAGAAAAAAAGCTTATCATAAAAATGATAGAAAAGATGAGTTTCTCAATCCAAATCAGCTGTAGAGTTGGGAAGGGGTATACTTGAAATGATCCAGAAAACTAATGTATTTGCATGTTACCTCCCATCGAGAGTTCTTTTAGGTCTGAATACTTTTCAGCATTTTCAAACAAAATTGCAAAGTTCCCCTGGACATAAGAGCTTATCCTTTGTCAATTCCTGTCATCTAATCCCTTAGAAAAGGATAAAGGTCTGAATAAGAAAGGAGAGAGAATCTTCAGCAAAGAGCCAAGACATTAGAGATTGACAGCAGAGAGTCTTTGACAACGAATCTCAGTAGCTCATCCAAAATTTAGCTCCTTGAAGTAAACCTTCCATTACTAGACCTTAGCAGCACTGCCCTTCTCTTTCATTCTTTTCTTGAAAATTTCACCATCAAATTTGTCCAAGCCATGTAAAGAGGAATACTTAGGTGTAAGTAGAAGACGAAGTCAAGGGCTCAGGTATCATTTTAGAATAATGGAGCCAATAGCATATGGCTGAACCTGACACATGGCTTGGACTCGTGATTGCTATGATTGAAGGTCTAGTTATTACTCAGCTCCCAGTGAAGACAATCCTCATAGCTACACCTAAGGAGAACACTCCTGTCAGGCCAAGATGCCTGGCACTGTTGTGTACCACATTTCTAAAAGTGTGGCAGCTTTACTGAGTTATATAGCTGCAGGCCAGGCATCATCTATTTCTCAGCAAGTAAGACTCGTTAGCTGTCGTTGCTTTCTCAGAGATCACAAGATGAAAGCTTGAGATGGGATCTTTTTGGTTGCATAAGAGTATTAAAAGGGTGCACCAAGCAAGGGGGTGCACAGCTGTCATCCCAGCACTTGGGAAGATAATCGCCATGAATTTGAGGCCAGTCTAGACTACATAGTGAGTTCACAGCCAGCCAAGGTCAATAGTAAGACCCTATCTCAAAAATAAACAAGCAAACAAGCAAGCAAGCAAAGAGGAGAAATTAGGTCATTCTCTGCTGTTAGACATTATTTTTAACAATTACTAAATTTTAAGCATCCACATAGAATCTTTTGTTCTGATTATCTGAAATTCTAATGCTAATATTTAAGAAGATGGTGTTTTAGAGATAGAGATTATGGCATGGCAAAATTGCTAGATAAATGGGCGTGACCTGTCAATCACTGAGATCCAGGATACATGTGCAGAGCCACTTCCAAGCCCTGTACCTGGTCCCAAACAGAGAATGCTACCTGCTGGCTCCAGATCAAAGGGATTTTTGACATGATGGCCTAGATCTGACATCCAAATGGGAGATAGAAAGGTGGTGACCATTAACCTCGTGAGCCTTTTCACTAGCCTCTCTGTACCCTGCAGGGTATAGTATTTTCCTACCTTTAACTGGCTCATACTCACTCCACAGAGCATTCTCCTTTTCTTTCCTTTAAAACCTTTAACAAATGTAAAACTTTGCTCGTTCATTTCCTGTCCAATTCTTTTTTAGGACAAGTCCCTAGAAAACCCCTGGAAAGAGTATAATACTTGAGAATCTGAGTAGCTTTTTGAGTGACTTTCTTAAGATAAGCACCATGGAAAAAAATTCTTGAACTTCAGAGGAGCATTTAGATCACCGTATCTGCAATAGGCAAGTGCTTTCCAGCCCAGGAGAGAGAGCGTGCCAAGGGCAGGAGGCCATTCTCTTCTGCAGATAAGCCAGGGCCTCCTCACCTTTTCTTTCATTAGGTAAGAACTCCACTCTAGTACAGCAGCCACAAGTGGCCAGTAAGCAATCGAGTATGCCTAGACTGGAAGGAAACTGCTGTAAGTTGTTGATCTGCAAGATTAAGTTTTTAAAAAGGTGAAGTTTCTCATTACATTTTTTATTATTTATGCATTAAATGATAATATTTTGATATCTTTTGTTAAATAAAATATACTGTTGAGGTTTCTTTTCAACCGCTAGGAAGTGTAAAATACATGACCTGCATTTGTAGCATTCAATTTCACTTGGATAGTGCTGGGCTATACTTCTGTTCAGATGAACACACACTGGCACTTAGGCAGATATGCTATTGTGAATGCACAGATCCAGCTAACTCTCACAAATGAGAACACTGATTTTTAACCAGAGGACAATTTTCTGTGACCCTAGGTTACAGAAGGTAGAAGCATGTACATGTATGTTTGAGAGAATGGGTTCTATGGGCTGCACTGAGTTAGCACAGGAGTGGAAACCAAAAAATGAAAGTGCCACAGTGGGAGCGGGAAGAAGCCAAGGAGAAAAATAGTAGACAGGAGGGGACGGCTGGGCCTCAAGAACACAGTGGGGGCTCGGGGGCCACTCCTCTTGAAGGTGCCTATTAGCTTCTTCCTTCTTAGCTCTCTTTCAAACTTTCTCTTCTCAGCTCTTCTCCTGTGACAAAAAGTTTCCTTCAACGCACATGCACAACGAAACAAGCAAAATTTTTGCGCCTCTCTCTTTGACCAAACTGCCCCTCCCAATAAGGCGATGTAGGTAGAAAATCAAAGACTTTATCTTTTAATGCATAGGAGCAAAAAATGCATCAGAAAAGCCTTAGATGGGCGGTTATACAGATGCTACATCTACATTTTCTGTCTCAAGAATAGAAGCAGAGGGAGAAAGTAGAAAGAAAATGAAAGAAGTGGGGTGTGTTCATCTGCTTGGAAACACACTGGGGTGCTTAGAGCCAAAGGTCCCTGAGATTTCTGGCATCAGGGACCTGTTTCCTACAAGACAACCCTAGATTCCTTGCATGTCCAGTTCCCAGGGTTGCATGGCTATGAGAATCCAGTGTCACCACTGGCCTGACAGGAGGTAGGGCTCAGGTGGCAATGCAGGTGATGAGGAAGGACTACACATACAGGGGAAGCTCTGCTCGCTGGCCAGCCTGCTTCCTAACAGGCCAAGAACTGGCCCTGGGGTTGGAAGACACCCGGTTTAGAAAAAAGACACCTGTTTCTAATAGTGTTCTGGGATTTTCTAATAGAAAATCCCAGATCACACTGTCAGGATGGTTGGGTTCTGGTGCAGTCTTTGGTTTATAGAAGAACCCATCTTCTCTGTGTCCTCATGTGGTGAGGGAAAGGGACTGGAAGCTCTCTTCATTGTAGGGCACTAACTTCATCACAAAGGCCCCATCCTTATGACCTCATTTAGCCCCAATTACCAATTATAGGACCTCCACAAACCTCATCTCTGAAGGCCATCTACCAGGGGACAGGGCTTCAACCTATGAATTTGGAGGAGGCATAAGTCAGTCCATAGCACAAGGAGAAGATGATGGAAAATGAGTAGAGAAGAAACATGAAGATGAAACAAGGAGAGATGACACGAGATCTTCGCTTCCCAATGCATTGTTCTCATGTATTCTACAGGAGAATACCAATTAGGAGGCAAGCTAAGGAGTATGCACACTAAAAAGCAAATTTCTCATACAAGACTACTTTACTATCAAGTGATCTTTTAACACATGTAATATGATTTTATTTTATTTCTAAACACATTGCATATGATAAAAGGGTTTTGCACTCTTCAACATGAGCACTCTGAGTGTCTCCTATCCTATGTGAATATTAGGAATTGTTCCAGTGAGTTTTCTTGACTCTGCCACTAACAATTGTTCTGCTCTTTCCTCATCAAGCCTCCCTCATCTGTAACAGGGTGGGGCATGTGTCCCTAATGTCCTGAGGGCTTCCGAGCACCACATCTCAAATATCTGCAGTCTTCCCTAGACTTTTGGGACAGACAGTCTCACCAGAGCCATGCCTGCTGAATCACTGAGGTTCTGCCATCTGACCAGGTAAACCTAGGTTTGATCCCACACCCGAGACTTCAGGAGATCCAGAGACATCCACAAGAAGTGCCCTTCAGTCTCTGGGAGAGAGGAAAACCTAATCAGCCACAATCAAAGCATGAACTGGCCATTTTTGCAGAGGCTTTTATAAGCTCACACCATTTTTTATTATTTTCTCCTTTCTTCCTTCACTTTAAATAGATGTTAGGAGCTTGGGGTTCTAGCTCAGTGGGAGAGCATTTGCCTCCATAAGCCCTAGAATGTGTGAGAATGAGGCATAGGGTCATAGCAAAGAAGAGAGAAGAGATACATGGTAGAAAATGGGCATGATTAGAAAAATTTAGAAAGTAGGAAGACTTCTGTTTGTAGCCAGGCCAGCCTGTGCTCTCTTTGGGGCAGCCATGAAGACCAAAGGTCCAGAAGAACTTGTGACATTTGCCATTGGCCATTTCCAGCTTCCAGCTCTTTATAACCTCAAAACCTTCATGTTCTTAGCAAAGTGCCACAGAGAAATTCAATAAAAAATAACTAATAATGACTAAATAGATTACAGAAGAAGGAATTTCAGTTTAAGGAATCTGAGAATTGGAATGTAGGTTGGGGAAATTCTAGCTTTGTGTGCCACTCACTGTAAGAATTCTTTAACATTTCTGTGATGATTTTCTAATCAAGTAGCTTGTTTTCAGGCACTGGCTGCCAAATTGTAATCAGCGAATAAAATCTGCTCACACCTGTGTGCAAGGGATTGCACTCAGGACCTAGAGAATGCTAGGGCTGAGCTCTATCT